GAAATGCACATGTTTTTGCCGATGAAATGAATAGCCTGTTGCAGTTGTATTCCTTCAGTTATCACCAATTACAACTCTCACGTCATTTCTGGTGTGTGTTCTGCACTCGATGCGCTTCTGGTTTTCTGAGCGAGAGAGCGAGTGTGAACAGGTCCACATAACTAAATCAAAAATGTGCACAGAAGAAAACAGCACCTAAATACGGCGCGCATTTTTCTTTGCGGGTCGACGTGGGGACGCATTGTCCAAGATGACAGTCTTTTTGACTAACATAACCTCAGGGGTCGCAAAAATTCATCGGAGACGAAACTTCACTAAGAGGGGTAAACAACGGTGCTGAGCATGAATACAGCATTAGTTATCGGCGCTGGCGCCGGACCAAGGTGTCTATAGGTGACACGAGCCTGCTGAGCAAGGTGTGATTACTAGAAACTTGGAACATGCGCTGTGAAGTTTTTTTTATGCTGCATCCCAACATCGACCCGCATTGTCCGTCGTGGCAAAAAAAGTGCGTCCCAACATCGACCCGCAATGTCGCCAAAGGGTTAAAGTACAGCGGACCTTGGACCACAGCAAAAACCACATAAAAAAACACACGTTTGAAATTTCACTAGGAAATATGCATAAATGATTGTGGAAGTGAAAAGCTCAGACAACGTAAACCCGAATGAAAAAAAGGTGAACGCTGCGCAATCGCAACGCGTGCCGCCCCAAGGTGAGTATAAACCCGGAAATAACAGGATCTCTGCCACATTTTGAACACAAGGTACTATTCCTCAAGCACTATTACTGTTATTCTATGCGTGTAGCCTTCAGAAGCAGCTTACCGTAACCATGACACTGATAAGTATACTGTATAAAATCGATAAGCAATCCATTTATTAGTCGACAAATAGCCTCTGGACGAGGTACTGTATCAACAACATTACAAGTGATGGTTGGATTGTGCTGAGGTCATCCTATAATACATACCTGTAATCTCGTACAACGCTATGACGTACAGTATTGATGCCTTGTCACGTATCAGTAATATCTCTCAGTAATTATGCCTAAAACGCACGAGAATCTATCTATTAAATAGACGTTATAAACTACATACAAGAATATAATCGAGCACCTATACAAAAAGGAGAAACGTTTCTCCTAAACGGCAGGCAAAAGTGAAATGGGCGGAGGGGGAACGCATGGTGTAACCGTACCAGGAGAACGCAAATGAATCACGAGCGCTAACTGAGACCTGAGCGAACTGCTGTAACATAGCTTGGGGCTTGGAAGCAATAAACCCAACACACGCTTATGTAACAACATACAGTATGAATAAATCACGACTATAAATGTATAAATTTCAAAGAGAACAAATGCCCGCAAAAATCACAGGGTGGTGCAAGTACGAAAGGGACAATGAATGGCCTTGACAGGGGTACGTTAATCATGTGTAAAGTCCTATAATATAGCATCGGTAGACAGCTCCTCGACATCGCTGGCATCGATATCGCAGATCGCCGCCGATGTGGCTAGCGAGTCGGTATCACCTCCTCCTCCGCCGCGAGTCGGCGGATCGTCGTAAATCCGAGAATTGAACACATTTTTGTGGCTTGGTGGTGGCGGCGCTTGACTGCTCAAAACTGCATCGTCTGTACCTGCAAGTGGGATTATAAGTGCCTGACTGTCGAGCGAGTACTCCTGGTAGCCTGTTAACGTGACAGTCAACTTTTTATGACGACACATACGTGGGCCAAATACCAATCCGCCTGTCTCCCAAAGACTAAATTGCGAATTTTTATGCCCTGGGACGTGATTATCTGGCAAGGAGCCAGGCATGTTAATTTGAAAACGCGTAAACATCTCTTTTATTCAATTATTAGTAGTAAGCTTCAGTTGGGGATGATGAGAATCCGACGTTCGTAGCAATTTTTCAGTTTTCAGCTCCGTAGACTAGATTACCAGAGGATGCCCCCGTAAGCTTGCGGGAGCGCGTGAACAGATAGTAGTGGCTCCTAGCGAGGACACTGCTGTGAGCGTTCTTCTTTCGTTCATCTGGATCAGTTGTATAAACATAAGTCAGATTAGCCTCAGATATATTCTGGTCTTCAGCTTCGACCGGGGGCTATTTCACCCCAATGGATTGCGCTTGATACTTTAATCTCACATCTTTCTAGAGCTCACCACTCGCTATCGTCTTCTTGCGATCCAGCAGCGGGTCGTCGTGGACTCGCCCGTATGGTCGCTCATACTTTGCGCGCGCGTCGCTCGTCATGTAAGTCGTCATCGTTATCACCGGGGTCGCACCGTTTCTCCACTTTCACCGCCAGTTAGAGATTCGATCCTGTTAAGAAGGGTGAACGGAAACTTTATTAGTGTAGCTTGAGAGCAACCATACCGCATCATTAATGGCATTCTGTACAAGCCTATACGACCCTAGTCCCTCTTACGACAAACAATGCTGCTCATACCTCATTCGTTCCATTTGTATAGCCGCTCCTATCCGATCAACTCCATCACCCCACTTTTCACCACCGTCATCATCACCTTCAGTTGTCGGCAGACATTGGATCGATTCAGCTAGCGGAACCCTGACGAGAGAGTTTTTCAATAACAGTAATACAGGGATTGGACAGCAAGCCACACCAAGCCTACCTTTCTTGGTTTAGTGCCGAAAGGGCATCTCTCGTAGCTACTACCGGATGGCGGTCATTGACTCGAGCTCGATTTTTGCCACTTGACGAACGTCCTGGCTCATCTTCTTCGGTAACGCGGAAACCAAAACGACGCAACGCTTCCATAGCACCAGAATCATGCGAGGAGACTCGTCCAGACTAAAGAATTATGAGCCATTTAACTATTACATTACGAGATTTACAGTTATATTATCTACTCTTCTCTTTATTGTGAACCAAAGTGGCCCTAGCGACTGCCTAAGAAAAAAAATCACCTCCCATGAACAAACCCTTTAGTCCGAAATCTAGTTATAGATTTCGAGAGTAACAGCTAAATGTTCTGATCCTTACCTCATCTAAGTCATCTGCTGCACTACCGTAATCCGTAGCACGTTTCCACTGCTTCCCTGTGCCGACAAGCGATGGCGATCGTGAGTCGCCGCGACCACTGGATGAAAGGCGTTCGCGCTGCGGTAGTGGCCGTACCTTGAAAAACTCGATTTGTTAGTGAAAAAGACAGTTATTCTTGCTTTTACCATAGCAACGCGAACAACGTCGAAGAGTAAAACAGCAAGAGACGCGTGCGGTAGCGTAGCGAATGTTTGACCACATAAGGGATATTCACAAATTTAACGAACCGCTGCCGCGCGCTCTCACTTGCTCGCAATCGTGATGCAGAATTTCCATGTCAACTCTAGATCTCACCTGAACCGTTGGTAGACCTGTCAGTTGCGCCTGTTCTAGATTCGATATCATCTGATTCCCACCACGGAACGCTCTTGGTGGCAAAGGAGGTGGTGCTGACGCCACTGGTGGTGGTACCACATGCGGATTGCGCACATGGGCCACAGCATGCACATGTTCTCCATACTTTCCGTCCTCACTAAATAATCGATTAAAATCAATAGTAGGGCTTCACAATCAATATCAAAAAATCTGCGACCAGCTCTTAAGGCTAACCTCTTCACTTTCAGACATCGACAGACAAGTGTGATGGCAAAGATGACAGCTATGATAAGAACGAGAATCGCTAACGCAATAATCAGCTCTATCAATGAGATTCGAGCCAAAAATGACGGTGCCACGTCTGAAATGTTAGAAATCACGTTTGGAAAACCAGGAAGAACTGAAACTGGGAGCAACCGAAAAGAACATACCGTCACAGTTCTTTCCAGAAAATCCATGAGTACAGTTGCAGATGTAACCAAGGTTATGACTATGCTGTTTTGGAATTGGAATGCATGTTCC